TATGTTATGTAAAATTTGGGTTTTAAAAATGAGGAAGGAAGTAGGTGTATTTTATTTACGTACAAAAAGTTATTTTTAGGTCTGTATAATTACAATTTTTGATTTGAGTAACTGATAAGTTATTGAAASAGTTTTTAGATTTTACAGAATATTCATATTTCATAAGTACTACAAATTACGATACATAATAATGAGGTCGACGACGTCAACTTGACGTTATACTAAACCATTAATCTGATAATCGTCAGTCAAATGGTACTTATTTCAGTAGTTCTCAACCATTTTATATCCCAGTAGATAAATCTTATACGTCCTTCTTAGTTGAAAAAAAATATTTTATACCACTTCAAAGAAAATACCTTTAAAACACAGTTGTTGGAGGGCTCTTATTAAAAACTAAATTAATGTGTAAAATTTAATTAATTACCTACCTATAGTATTATTCTTATTATATCGAACGTCGATTTTTTCGTAATTTCAGAATTCGAACTCAATCCCCTTGAAAAATTACCATTACCATAAAACTCGATATTTCGAACTTTTTCTGTTTCTCGTGAGTCATGAATATAGTTTTTTGTATCAATAATAGTTCTAATTTTTTTACTTAATTATTTTCTTTGCATACCACTTCTGAGATGTAGACTGATTTAGAATCACTGGCTTATATGATTTTTGTAGRAGTATTCTATTTAGTATGTTTTATTATAATTTTATTTTTACATCTAATATGCAGTTCTAAATGAGCCTTTACACTACATCGAGTGATCGAGCTTAAATGAATGCAACTATAGCCTATAGGTAATAGCCAATAATGTTAGCTTTTAGTTGTTGCTACCAAACAATTAAATCAAAGAGACTATTTTTAAGTTTTTAACCTAATTTAAGGCATCTTAATKTTAATTGCTTATTGTTTACTACGTAGTAGTTGTACTGTGATAAGGTTATTAATAMTGCTTCTAATATTATGATGTTTAGTATTATATTTGTTAAGTACTTCGTGACCCCGAAAATAAAGAAAGCATAATATTTAAATTAAAAATGCGAGAATCCKGTTTTACATTTTTATTCGGATTTCAGATTCTTCAATAATCTTACATGAGTGGTCCAATCGTTCTGAACTCGTATTTTTAATTTTCGTGTTGGTTTTTATTCGACTCAMAATTTCAATTAGTTAGCTGATTTTTAACCTTTTAATATTAACAAAATTGTATATTTTACTTATTGTTAATAATAATCGGAATAATAATTTATACGTGAATGCACTATATAATATGAATGTATACAATAATAGTCATATCTACAATACTGTGTATGGAATATTGTGAGAAAATGGAGCACTCCRTAATTATTCCATAATTTAGTTATACAAAAYACGTACCTATACCTACAATTGTGTAGTATTAAAGATAATTTAACTGTTGACCACCCACTGGTAGTATGATAGATCAAACTTCAAATTATAGAAATAAAATCAATCTGGACTTTAAATGGTAGTATAGGAGGAAGTATATACTATGTAGCTAATAGCGATTGACTATTAATACTGATAAAAATTGCATTATAATTTATAATGTAAATTGATATTTAATATGTAGAAATATGAGTAACATAATTCTATTGTATTTTAAATAATTTAATTACCTATTAAGTACCATATTCTTATTAGATTTTAATTTTGTTCGTTCCAAATTACATTTACACCAATATATTTTGAAAAATTTACGGGTTGGAATAAATTTTCTAAAATGATTTACTTAATTAAGTTTAAAAATGTTTAGTAGTGTATACGGATAAAATATTAGTCAATATGTAATATAGACATATTTCTGCATAATTTACGCAACTGTTACCTGTCGTACGCTTATTTGTGTAATTGGTACTTATTCATGTGTATTGTGCTGTCTATACTCTAGTAATCCGGTGTATATGAAAAAAATCAGTGATAGGCAGATTACATTTTGGAAAATTTAACGTTGGTAGTTATCGTGTATTGTGAAGATGAAAACAGAATGATAATTGATGAGTTTAACCA